TAAATATATATATAAATAATATTTTTCCCACCTTTTAATAAAATTTTATTTTTTGGTAGTAGGTTTTAGACGCAACCACCCAGGGAGTACTACCGCCCCTGCCAAAATGCCTGAAACAAAAACCCTGAACCCTGTTTGCATGATGGTGGGATTGCTGGTTTCTTTTTTTTGTCTCATAAACACCAAAGAAAACAGGGATATCTGCTACTCCTACAACACTTTGGTCACACTTCACAGAAACGCACATGAAATAAAATATATACATACATCTAGGTTTTTCTCCTTTTTCTAAAAAAGCCTTGTTCTTTTTTATTTTTTCCTTTTTGTCCATGGGGAAGGGGAAAAAATTTTTTCCTCCGTAAGCCTGCGGTCGTATGGGGCGACTAAAATGCCGGGAGCAAGGGGCTAGAAACCCCTTTTCTCCTGTATACAATTACTAAAAAAGAAAAGAAGAAAAATTTTAAATAAAACGGGGGTTTTTAAAATTTGGGGCGTGATGTAGGCGGGACAAAAACAGTTGATTGCTGATTTTTATGAATGAAAAGAATTTGGATGCCCTGGCCCTAAGCGAAACAAAGCTAAAGGGGGGTGGAGATTTTTCGGGGGGGGAAAATAAATGGTTTAAAATCTGGAGTATCTGAGAGATTTAACAAAGGAAAGGGGGTAGCAGTAATTTTAAAAAAGGGATCATTATGGAAGGAGAAAAGGGGAAATAGAATTGTAAATTCAAGAATTATGTGGATTAAAGTAAAGGTTAAAAGGGGCGAGAAGTGGGTCATAATAAGCGTGTACACCTGGAGAAGAGAGGAATGCAGAGGAGAAAAGAGATTTTGGGGGGAGTTAATTTAATTTGGAAACCTTTTTAACCAAGTGAAGAGTAATTGTGGTAGGGGACTTGAATGCTAAAGTAGGGGAAACTTTAGAGAGGGTTGGTAGGTAATTTTTTGGGGGGCCAGTTTTAAATGATAATGGGGGCCCTTTTATTGAAAATTTGTATAGAAAGGGGGGTTTTGTTTTTTTAGGTAAAACATTTTTAAAGAAAAAGAGGAAAAAAAAGTATACCGATTGTTAGGGGGAAATGACAGTATTTTTTTGGATTATTTTAAATTTGGGAGATAAAAAACTGTTTAGTAAACTTCAGGGTGTACATGTTTTTTAAGGGGCCCCCAGAAAATAAACAGTCACCCTTTTTTAAATTTTTAGCTACATTTAGAGTAAAAGGTAGATGGGATACAAAGGAAAAATAGAAGCACAGGGAAAAGAAGGTGAAGGTTTTTAAAAATAAAAGAGGGGGCAGTTTGGGTAAGATATAAACACTTTTTGGAGGATAGATGGGCTAAAGAAGCATAGGCAATGGGGGGCAAGAGGTATGGGGGAAAGGGTTTTAAAAAAGTAGGGTTTTTAAATGTTTCCCGCAGAAGTTTTTGGTTACAGGGAAAATGGGGGGCAAGGGGGGAAAGGGGCGATTGGGGAAAGAAGATGTAAAGAAGTTAAATAAGGGAGAAAAAATTGCATAAAGGAAAAAAGTTTTTTCAAATAAAGTGATGCAAGGAGGGGAAAGTATAAGGAAAAAGAAGGGAATTTAAAAGAGGGTGAAGCAATGTAAAAAAGAGAGCAAATGAGAGAGGGGATGACACTGTTGGGTCTTGGGGGATTCTGAAAAGGGGTTTTGCAGAGAAATTTGGGGGAAAGAATTTGGAAGGGGGGTGCAAAAGAAGAAAAAATTTAAAGGTGAATACAGGAAAAGTAAGGTTATGAGGATAACAAAAAGATTAAAGGGGATAAAGATTGAAAATCAATTGGAGGGGGAGAAAATGGGGGGAAAAGGGGAACGAAAACAGAAATTTGGGAGTGGGCGGTCAGCAGATTTGGCAAAGAAAAATGAGGGGAATCATAGAATTGATGAGGAAAAAATGGGGTGGTGCACTTGAGTCTGGGGGAAAACAAAAACTTTGTCCCTTTGGGGGCAAAAGGGGAATGTATGAGAGTTTTAAATTTTACCAACGCTCTTATGGGGGGGAAAGCGTGGGTGAGGGAAAGTTGCAGCGGGGGAGAAAGGGTGGAGGGAATGGGGAAAGTCATGTCCCGAGGGCAAATTTTGGTGGGGAATATTTGCAGAGAAATTCCCAAATTTTGGGAATTAGGAGGAGTGCGGGGTTACCCAAAAAATTTTTCCAGAGGGCTGAGGAAGGGTTGTTTGGTTTGGGTTTGGACATGTAGAGAGAAAGGAGCGAAACCCAAAAGACTTCAAAAAGTGTATCAGTCCCGTATGGAAGGAAGGCGGGGGAGGGGCGGCCCAGGGAAGGGGTTTGGGGGGAGGGGGGAAAGGAGGGTTTTTTGTCGAGGGGCTTGGAATCTTTTCCCGCAAAAGGGATGCGTGAGCTGGTTTTTATTAGGGTGAATGGAGACAAATGGTTTTTAATTTCTTTAAGTTTTGTTGGAGGGTGAAAAACAAAGTAACATTATGAAGGGATTCAGGAAACCGGGAGGCCCCGGGCTTGAGTCCTGGGGAGGAAGTTAAAAAAGTGCCGGGACTCTGAAGGGGGGTGTTAAAGTTGCAATTTTTTTTAAAAACCCGTAAATGTAAACACCCTTTTGGCAAGAAAAGTGATGGAGTGAATGATGGGGGAAAGTTTTTCTTTTTTTTGGGGGCCCCCCGCCTTGGGGGGAATCGGGCCCGGGGTGATAATAATAAAAATAAAAAATATAACCAAAACACATGGGATATATATATTAAATATATATATAAAATAAAAATATAATTATAATTATATAAATATATAAAATATATATATAAATATATATATTTTTATATATAAAACATGTTATTTATATATATATTAAAAATTTATATATTATAAAAAAATATATAAAATATAAAATAAAATATTATATTCTAAAATACACATGTAAAATATATATAAAATATATATATAAAATATATATAAAATATAAAATATATTTATCCCCATGACTACTATTTTTTAAACCCCCTCCCCCCCCTTTTACATTTAAAGGTTTTTTTATTCCCAAAAAAAATGGAAAATTTAAATTAGCAACAAAGCCTACTTTTTTCACACCCAGTTACATTTTTGTTTAAAAATAATAATTTTAAAATTTGTTTTGTTTTTTTTTCATATAGGTATCGGGGCAGCGGGTGGGAGGGTTTTGCAAGCCCCCGGGAGGGGAAAAGGGCCCGCGCCAAAGTTTGGGCAAAATTTGGGGAAATTTAAAAGCGTCAGGGAAACTCCTTCATAACTCGGAGCACTCAAAAAACCCCTGCTAACGAGCTGAAACCCAAACAGATGACCTTTTTACACCCATCAGCAGCTTACTCCCGAAGTTCAGGAGGGGGCCCAAAATTTTAAAATTTTTAAAATTTTTTTTTAAAATTTTTACCCTATGAGCGAACTTTTTTAAAGCATCATTTAACCCTAAAACCAAATTTAAAAGAATGTGACTAGGGCGTGAGCTGCAATAAGTTAAATTTTTTTAAACTATCACCAGTTGAAGTTTTTATTTCCCGATTTTAAAAGGGAGGAACTAAAATTGTAATTAAAAAATTTAAAATAAAAAACTGATTTGTGGGCTTTTTAAAAGATAGTAGTATAATTTTTTTCTGGGTTTGGTCCAAATCACGGGCAGACTGAACATAGCCCCCTTTAAAAGGGGCCCCTTGGGTTTCCCTTTTAGGGAAATTATTTAGAATATGTAAGAGTTTTTTGGGTTTTAAAATATTGAATCAGCTGGCATCAGTAAAAATTATCGAAAGTATTATCACATGAATTCCCCGTGGTTTTTATTTGTGCAAACAATTTTAACTGTAAATTTGGATGAGGGTTTGGGGATAACAACTTTTTCTATGAGACAAAAATATCTTTTATACAATTAAAATTTTAAATTTCCATTTTTCATGTTTTTAAATAAAAAAATGCTCTGCGGGAAGGCCTTTGAAAATCATGTTGGGTTTTTTTATTTAGGGAAGTGGGGCAAGTAATGAAATAATTGGTCAAGCTTGTAAATACGTAGTTGCGGTACTGGGACCTGGAGACAAGAATTCGAGGGATGGGCTTGTCAGTGGAGCATGCACAACCCCTTATGTGGTAAGTAAACCTGAAAAAAAAAACATACCATTTTTAAGCCTAACAGGGCATGGCTCACAAGGGCTTTTAACAGAGCTCACAAAAGAAGAAGGCATGCAGTAAGTAGTGTTCATCACTTTTTTTAATAACGCTAATACTGGAGATAAAAACTTTCAGTTGTATATATACTTTTCTATGGCTAAAGTTATTGTGTCCTCTGTATAATAATTTAAAATTATAATGTAAAACAAGTATAGGTTTGAAAATTAAAAAAAAAATTACCTTGTTAAAATTAAAACACAATTATAATTTCAGACTTTTAGCTATATATAAAAATATTAACTGTTGATCAAAAAGGCAAAGTAAAGAATAATTTAAAAAAAAAGTGTTGCATTCTTACTGCAGTCACTAATATGATGAATGTGCTTAAGACATGAAAAATGGGAAGGAAATGTATACATACATACTGTAGGTAGATATAATGTGTTGGAAAGCAATGTGCCTGGAGGAATAAATGGAAAGGATCAAGAGGTAAGGAAAAGTAGTGCAATAATTGAAAGTATGAAGGAAACAAGGATAAGTAACCCTTGTGATATTTTACTTCTGAACAGAAGGAATATTTGATAATGGAGGACTGGTGTCGGAAATCTTGAGAATTTTCAGTGAAAATGGTAAAACTAAAGAACAGAAGAGTGGTAGAAATAGATGGTGAATGGAGTTTCGGGGGAGTGGTGGGTGGGGAGGGAAACGGATGGATGCTACAAATTTGAGACTCCCTGCCTCTTCCCCCCAGTAGGCCTGTTGCAGTGTTTCTTCTTATGTTCTAACAACTGCTTGATACAGTTTACTGATATTTCTCTCATTCATATTCGATGTGCCATATACTTGTAATACATGTTATCACATGGTTCATTTAAGCTGTTGCACATCGACTAGTCATACATACCTCACGTACTAATACATGTACAAAGTTCGTAGCGTCACACCAGTACCTCACCTTCTTTGACTACACCAGTATATGGCTTGGTCTCTCACCAGTACCTAACCATGTTCCTGAAACCACACTAACACTTAACCATGTTCCTGAAGCCACACTAACACTTAAACATGCTCCTGAAGCCACACTAATACTTAACCATGTTCATGCTGTCAAGCTAGTATATAACCATATTCCTTCAGCCACATTAGTACTTAACCATGTTCATGCAGCCACACTAGTATCTAACCATGCCCATGCAGTCACACTAGTACCTAACCAAGTTCATGCAGCCACACTAGTACCTAACCATGTGAATGTAGCCACAGCAGTATGTAACCATGTTAATTCACGTCACACCAGTACCTAATCATGTTCCTGAAACCAAACTGGTACCTAGCCTGTTCCTTAACCCCACACTAGTACCTAACCATGTTCTGCAGCCATGCTAGTACCTGTGTTCCTGCAGCCACGCTAGTACCTAACCATGTTCCTGCAGCCACATTAGTACCTAACCATGTTGTTACACATATCATATTGTAACTTGCTGGGTTTTCTGTGGTGTTGATGATAATTGTAGTTATGCTGTGGTTAAGATCAGTAATTATGAATCTTGTACTAGGAGTGTCCGTAGCAGCAGCTGCTGAGAACATAGACAATCTATTGCTTGGTCATTACCAATTATTAAGAGTATTTTGGTAGGATATAGTATGTACAGATCAGCATGGATGCTGCAGGGAGGGGACAATACACATGTACTATAAGGTAAAAAGCATGCTTACCACTTACTGCAAGCATATTATCTGTGTCTTGTGTTTCTCTCTCTCTCTTTCACATACACACACACACAGTTTGCAAAATAGTCAGATTTAATATAGGACAAAACTGTTATTTGTAGGCATTCCTTATTCTTGCATGCTGCCCATACAGTAATTAGATATTATAGGTGAATATTTGTAGCCTTTATTTAGTCTTTATTTCCATACAGAAACTGTGATTTGAGTGCTGCTTCTTAGGGCCCGGAGCATTATCCTTTGTACTAAATTCATGCTAGGAAGTGAAGGGGTACTACTTTTTTATGTCCTAGTCTGTATCATTAGTGACATGGACTTGTGTGTGTGTGGGGGGGGGGGCTGGACCAAGTTAAATTTTCATTTCGGCTGGTTTGTTCACACCAGAAGAAAAAATATAATCCCCCAGCTGAAGCTGTTCTTTGTCATTATCAGAAAAGAAAATTAGTGCTATTTTATTGTAGTTCTCCTACAGAAGCTCTAATAATAATTGAACTTCCATGAACAAAGCTTTTTGTGACCTTTACAGGCCCTGCAGCAGGAAGTGTCTGCACGCAAGATAGAGGTGTCAAGCATCAACCTGGCAGTGCACAGATTTCTCACAGACACTGGCTACTCCCTGGCACGCCTTAAGGATGATGTTGCAGACCTTTTCAGGCTCTGGGATGAGGCTGACAGACGGTCAGTGTTAATATTTTCTAGTTCTGGTCCTGTTTTTTCACATTCTACATAAACGACATATCAGAACTTGAGCTGACGCTGGAGAGTAGATCAGGTTTATATTCAAGGCTGTCGTGTTAAAAACAATTGTTTGATCAAATAAGGGGACTCTTTCAAGCAAAATATGTACCAAGTCATCACTACATGTCCTTTGCTCACAATTAAGCTTCTGGAAAGCTGAACAGACAACATGTTAGTTTTCCTTTTGATGAAGGTGAGTCGGGTTGGTAAGATAACAAAGATGAGTTGGGATATATTACTGTTCCGGTTGTTACCATGGACGAAAAAAATGCTGTTGTTTGACTCACGAAATCGTAATAACACAATTGATAGATTATGACCACTGACCTGATTAAATAGGCAACTGTAAAAAAAAAAAAAATGTCTATTACCATTGTACGTGATTGCTATTGCTTCTCCCCTCACCATTGGTATCCATTATTCTCAAGCAGCTCCAGATTATTGTAAAGTTGGCAAATTCAATAATTACATTTGGCAAGTGAACCAAAGCATACCATTTTTGGTATTCTAGAAATGAATTGCCAGTCACATTGAAACAAGGATATAAACTGAAAATTTAATGATTAGCTAATAATTGTAATTTAAAGCTCTTGCCAGACAAGTCTGGCACAGAACTGGGCTGTGGGAGTAGAAAAACTTTTGAAACTTTTCAGAGGTAAATTTTGTGTTTTGTTCATAAATGTGCATAGAATGTTTAAATAGTATTTCACTGCACAAGGCCTATGGGTAAATCCTCCATTTCTCTCACTGACTGTTGTGTGACTCATGGCTCACTAAGGGTTTTTTCTGTGTGCCCAGCCAGCTCCTTCCTCCCCATGGGGTGGGGGGGGGGAGTTTTGTAGTGGTGCTTACAGCTATTGTGTAGGATGTGAGGTGTTGTAGTTCGCTAAGCTAAACTAAATCTGTCTAACTCTAACTTAGCTTAAATGCTTATAAGTAGCATATCATAGTAGCCTACGGAAGCATTGTTACTAGACTGTCTTATTAATTAGGAATGTATAAAGAACTGTGGCACCTCCATAGGCATAAGTGGGGCTTCCCCATTACCCCGGCTTAGGGAGAGCTGTAACATCTGGAAATCAAAGGTTAGTGCAAAGGTATTTTCATACTCTCATACTGTAAACATTTAAATGGCTTATCATTGAGTGATTGAATATAGCCCACCTATTATTTAACAAAACTATTAATGTTAGGAAATATCAGTTTAGTGTCAGATCAGCCAGGCTATGATGGATATGTGGGGCAGTGGGCCTCCAGCAGCAACAACCTGGTTGACCAGGCAGGTACCAGACAAGCCTGGCCTATGGCCGGGCTCTGAGAGTAGAGACTCAAAACTCATCAAAGGTAGTATCAGAGTACTGTATGTGGTTTATTCAGTGTCTGTAACCTAAATTAACCCCTACACTATCTCTTATGTAGGTCTGTTATTGATACTGGCGTCACTCACGTAGATCTATGTTTGAAGCCCAGTGCTCTCAAATGTTCAGCGAGTGGTAAATTTTGGCCACGATATGAGAGAATGGGCCTCTGTGGTGAATGTATATGATATACAAAAAACATCTAGCCCCATGTAGTGCATGATGGGGAAAAGCAAACCTCCGAGTTTGTGTTTGCTTTAAAATAGTAACTTTGAGGTGTTTTCTAATAAAGGCTATTTCAGTTAATAGAATGAAGACATACTACTGGAATAGAGATGATTTTGGTTGGTTTCAAGACTGGATGTAGCTTGAAATCAGGCTCAAAGTAGCAGAAATATTTTTACTAAGTCTGCTTCAATTATTGGGACATCCTCAACCTGTATTTTATTATCCGAGAAGCGATACAACATTGTTTTTGTGTGATGGATTCAAAATGTAATATAGGTGAGGCCTGGGAATGTGATTAATGAACAGAGGAACTGTTGCTTTAGTGGCTGGTGTGTCGATAGTGTTTACCTTGGACTGTTGCTTTATAAATTGAATTTTTAAATTTAGCAAAATTGGTTAAACTGCCAACATCTATGTACTTTATTTGAGTAGTTCTGAGAGTTAAATGGGCAGTTTCTTGTGCCTAATTGGTAGAATGGATGGCATACTAGTGAAATAGCAAAGAATTTGATCAAATTGAGCTATGGAACTGGTTTAAAATAGGACTCGGTGGGCAAAATCGCTAATGCATAAATTGCACTCAGACTGCCAGCTTTGTGCCTTCATAATTCCATAAATTTTCCATCATACATATTTTGTATTTTTGGTGTCATGATCTTCAAAAAAAAAAAGATTCTCAACAATTTCAGATTTTTTTTTTTAAATTTCTGACACTATCAGTACTTAATTTTGGGGCTTCTGACAGTGAAGGGGTTCCACAGCATTTCCTTCCTGAACATAAACTGGAAAGACTCAAATTTAAGTGATAATGGTTTGGCATAAATAGGAGCTAGCTTACTTTACTGTTATCTATTTTCAACACTTGTATTCCTTGTACATGTATATCTTCTCATTTTATTTACATTTTCATGTGTATATTTCAGGGTGAGCAGCGAGTTGACTCGTTTGGGTGTTGTGGAGGATACCTGGAAACGGTGGGAGACGGAGGCAGACGAGTTATCCAGGGCACTAAGGCAAGATGGGGACACACTTAAGGTCTTAGATGCTGCTATACAAACTGGGTCATTGACAGACACTGTGACAGCCTCAGTACAGGGCGTAGCACGGCTGCTGAATGACAGACGCAAGACCCAGCCAGGCAAGAAGCTGTTATTGCAGCACACTAAGGCACAGGTAAGGAATACAATGCCATTATTCTGACCATTAACCCGTTAACTATCCAAATATTGATCTACATTCTTACTGCTAGCGCTCCAAACATAGATCAACGTTGTATTTTTCCTGCTTCAGAATTTGGCACAATAGGTTTGATAGGCATAGGCAGTATAGAATGGGTCTTCACACTCAGTGTGTACAGTGTTAAAAAATATCTGGGACTACTTAGTACGTTGTGGGAGCACCAGTTCAATTGAGCACCAGCTAGAGCAAACAGCATGGCAAACACCAGGGATTCACTAATCTATCTCTGTTTCTGTCCCTTCTCTGTCTTTTTGTCGGCCTGTCTTTGTCCCAGAGCCACTGATAAACCAGACTCAGGAACTAAGTAAGTTTATTTAGGTACAGGTACACATAAGTACAGTTATCATACATAGTGTAAATTACCTAGGATAACCCAAAAAAAAGCCAAAGTACTGTACTGTGCTTGTTGATATGAGGCATAAGCATGGCTGGCAAGTAATATGCATTTCCATCTACCTGTTGGTTCATGAGCGGCTCTCTGAGACAGACAGGCAGGCAGAGAGAGAGAGAGAGAGAAACACAATCAGACATAGCAAGGACAGATAGATGTAACAGTGAAAACAGAAAAAAAAATGCAGAGGTTCACTTGGAGCAGTGCCAATCAGCACTAATGAGTGACTGCACCATCAGCAGTGTAGAGTGACACTCTTGTCTGACACCGTACTTAATGGAGTTTCATATACTTCTAAAAACATTGCTGGGACATAAAAATAATTTATATATATATCTAGACAATAGTATGTGACGAAGTCAGATGAACATATTCACCTGTCATGTGTGCTTGTGACTGATTACTATTTCCCTACCCAATATTAGTGTTAGAATAAAGATTGGCTATAATATCACAAGAATTGTAATTTTTTTTTTTAACACGTTGGCAGTTTCCCACCGAGGCAGGGTGGCCCAAAAAGAAAGAAGAAAAACCCAAAAGGAAAGAAAAGACTTTCATTATCATTCAGCACTTGTGCCATCACTCATACATAATCACTGTTTTTGCAGAGGCACTCAAATACAACAGTTTAGACATCCCTCTAAACTGCCAATATCCTAAACCCCTCCTTTAAAGTGCAGGTATTGTACTTCCCATTTCCAGGACTCAAGTCCGGCTAACTGGTTTCTCTAAATCCCTTCACAAAATATTACCCTGCTCACACTTCGACAGCTCGTCAGGTCCCAAAAACCAATTGTCTCCATTCATTCCTATCTAACACGCTCACGCACGCTTGCTGGAAGTCCAAGCCCCTCCCTCACCCACAAAACTTCCTTTACCTCTTCCCTCCAACCTTTTCAGGGACAAACCCTACCTCACCTTCCTTCCCCAACAGATTTATATGCTCTCCAAGTCATTGTACTTTGCTCCATTCTCTCTAAATGACCAAGCCACCTCAACAGCCCCTCTTCAGCCCTCTGACTTATACTTTTAGTAGCTCCACACCTCCTAATTTCCACACTATGAATTCTTTGCATAATATTTACACCTTACATTGCCCTTAGATACGACGTCATCACTGCTTCCAGCTGCCTCCTCGCTGCAGCATTTACATCCTGTGCTTCACACCCATATAAGTGTGTTGGTATCATTATACTCTCGTACGTTTCCTTCTTTGCCTCCATGGATAACGTTTTGTCTCCACAGATACCTCAATGCACCACTCACCTTTTTTTTCTTCATCAATTCTATGGTTTTCCTCATCTTTCATAAAACCATCTGCTGACAAGTCAACTCCCAGATATCTGAAAACATTCACTTCTTCCATACTCCCTCCCTCCAATGTGATATCCAATTTTTTTTTTTATCTAAATCATTTGATACCCTCATCACCTTACTCTTATCTATATGTATTCACTTTCAACCTTTACACACCCTCCCAAACTCGTCCACTAACCTTTGCAACTTTTCTGACCAGCACATGAAATTGCTGCCTCCCTTTCTTCATTGACAGTTAAAAGTTCCTCAAAATATTCCTGCCATCTACCCAATACCTCCAGCTCCCCATCTACTAACTCCCCTACTCTGTTTTTAACTGACAAATCCATTCGTTCCCTAGGCTTTCTTAACTTTTTTTTATCTCACTCCGAAATTTTCTCTTATTCTCAGCAAAATTGCTTGACGGTGCCTCTCCCACTCTGTCATTTGCTCTCTTTTTGCACTCTCTCACCACTCCCTTCACCTTTCTTTCATTCTCCATATACTCTGCCCTTCTTATTTCACTTCTGCTTTGTAAAAACCTCTCATATGCTACCTTTTTCTCTTATTGCACCCTTTACCTTATCATTCCACAAATAACTCCTCTTTCCTCCTGCACCCACCCTCCTATAGCCACAAAACTCTGGGTATGGGTAGTGGGCAGGGGGGGTTGAAGAGGGGTGGGATAGTTTTAAAAATGCAGAATTGTAATTATCAGAACATAAAAATAATGTAAATTAAAAAAATATATGAAAAAAGGGGATATCAGCAACATTTCTGCAAGCGGCAGGACTCCATGTTGCCATCAGGTGAGCATCCAGGGAAAACTTCATGGCCTTGTACCTTGGTAAGTACTGATGCTAAAAATTTTTATTTTTCTTGTACACACAGAAAATTGCTCTCTTTATTTTTATTTATTTTTTCAAAATATTTGGAGCGCTAGCAGTGGAGATGTTGATCAACGTTTAGACAGTTTTGAGGTTAAACCCAAAAATGCCTAAAAATGCTGAACTATAGTCCAGTGGGTTTTTTTTAATATTCTGTATATATAGCTTTCAAGAAGGGTTAAAATAGTTTTGATAACATAAGCTAGCAGTAAAAGGGGATCCAGACATTGAAAAAGTAAGAAGAAACAGCCTTGAATGATGCTAAAACTTTTTTTTTTATGCATATTCTTTATTAGCATAAAAAATAATTCAACTGGAGTGATTTTAAGTAATTTTCACGAACCACCTGATAGTGTAAAATTGCTGAAATATAGTCTAATAATTGCAAACTGGGCTAATTTTTTTTTTCTTTTTTCTAAAAATTATGTAACTGTTAGCTCAGTTGTTTTTCACAAAAAAAAAAAAAAAAATACATTTATGAAGGTTAGAATAGTTCTAAATGAGCTCTAGGTATACTCAGTTTTTACATTTACAAAAAATCAACCTCACTGATGAAAAAAATTCAGTCTGGTATGTCATGTAATATATGACAAGGTAAATACAGTGGAGCCTCTACTTGCGAGTTTAATCCGTTCCATGACCTTAATCGCAACTGGATTTGCTCGTTTGCAGAGCCAATTTTCCTCATTTAAATTAACTGAAATGCAATTAATCCATTACAGTGGAATTCTGTACTTCAATAATTTCGCTATTATCAACTCTACGGCTTATTTATCTATCTCACTTCATCTAATATGACATATTAAACAATATAAATAACATAGAAATCTGATATATACTCTAAAATGAACAAAATATGTCATTCATGTAGTGGTATGGGCAGTGTCGGCGGTGGACGAGAGTTTGTCTGGAGACCGGGCAAAATACTTCATGAATAATTTTGCTAATATCATCTATACGGCTTATTTATATACCACAGTTCATCTAATATGACATAACAAACAATATAAATAACATAGAAACATGATATATACTCTAGAATGAATAAAATATGTCATTCATGTAGTGGTATGGGCAGTGGACGAGAGTTTGTCTGGAAACCAGGCAAAATACTTCATGAATAATTTCGCTTATTTATATATCACAGTTCATCTAATATGACATAACAAACAATATAAACATAGAAACATGATATATACTCTAGAATGAATAAAATATGTCATTATGTAACAGGTGGAGGCGGCCACAACCGCTTCCTCTTTGTTGTGGTAAGCACTGCCATCTAGTGACGGCCTTTTGAAGCCGTCTATTATTATAATTATTATATATAGTACATTATTATATATGTATTATTATTATACAAATTATATTATTATGATTATTGTTGTATTATATTATACTATTATTATTATGCGTATTATTATTATACTACATACAGTGGACCCTCGAGTTTCGGCAGTATCGACTTTCGTGAAATCGCAAAATTTGGCCTCGAGTTTCGTGATTAGACTCGTGATTCAGCGACCGTCCGGTACCCGTCACCGCACACACAAAGTCAGTTTCCCACGCCATTCATGCTCAGTGTGCCATTGTTTACCAACACGTGACCATCACCCCGTGGGTTCATTTGTAATAATTCATTGTTTTTTGTGATTGCAACTGCTAAATAAGTCACCATGGGCCCAAGGAAAGCTAGTGCAAGCCCTTTGGTAAAGAAAGCGAAGAACACGATCCAGAGGGATTTTGTAGGGTTTGAGGCAGACCCTGACCCTGCCGACCCTCTGCCTGTTGTGGCATTGGGCAAGTCCATGGGGTTGGAGGTGAGTGACAGTGATGTGGAAGAGTTGGTGGAGGACCACAGGGAAGAGCTAACCACTGACGAACTGCAAGAGCTTCAACTGGAACAGCATCAGACCACAGCTGAGGAACTTGCTTCAGAGGAGGAGGAAAAGAGAGTGAAGGAGGTGCCTTCTTCGGTGATTAAGAACATGTGTTCACAGTGGAATGAGTTGCAAAGTTTTGTTTGAAAGTATCACCCTGACCAAGTTGAAACAAGCCATATCAGCAACATGTTCAGTGACAAAACCTTGTCCCACTTCAGGCAAATCATAAAGAAATGCCAGAAACAGACCTCTCTGGACAGATATTTTGTGCGACAGGGTTCCAGTGACTCAAGTTGTTCCCAGTGGCATTAAAAGAAGGGAAGTAACCCCAGAAAAGGACTTGCTACCTGAAGTCCTAATGGAAGGAGATTCTCCTTCCAAACAATAGTGTACACCTTCCTCCTATCCCCTCCTCCCTTCTTCCATCCACCCAGAAATCTTCAGTAAAGGTAAGTGTAATGTTATTATTTTTTACATGCATGTACTTGATTTCAGTATGTA